CCGTACGAGCGAACAGTGAGATACGGAGACAGCCCCGTCTTTCGACCGGCAACTCCGAGGTAAGTTCTGTCTGTTCCATTGGTACATAACCCATATCAACACGGTACTTAACCAAACAGCTAAAACGCCGTCTCATATGGTCGTGACGGAATCTAACCCCAGCTTCCCCTGGCCCACCAATGGGACCCCGGCCTTAACTCGCCGCTTGCGACGAAAAAATAACACAAAACATATCCTTTGAGCCGCCGCACAAGCTCCCGAGCTCACGGTCATGGCGATGGCGGAGGCGGAAAGCAATGGCTTCGAGTTCCTGTTGGATCCGGTCGACAGGTATCTTCCCTTCACGTGCCTTTTCCCTCTCCATCACAGTATACAGCGGCGCTGGCCTGCAGGACACCCTACTATTGCGCTCCCCTGGTCTTTTGTAGGTTTCCCCTGATGGATCTATCCGGCGGCAACTGCGTGCCCTCCAACGAAGCCATTGAAGCTCTGATCTGCGCCCCGTCCGATTCCAGTATGGGCGACGCTGGGGACAGAGCGCTGACAATGGAGGCGGATTTGAACAGTACTTGCGATGATGTGCCCCTGTCAGCGCCACCTTCAGAGCCGTCAACAGGGAAAGACGATCCTCAAGGCACCTGGCTGGACAGAGAGGTATATCCTGTCACCCGCTCTGTTCCATTAGTTCATGTACTACCTTTGAATTTTGATTCACATTGTCAGGTATACTTGAGAAGCTATTTCTGAAATTTGGTTCATCAATGGCACATAAATTAGACCGCTGCCTCAGAATTGATTTACATTGTCAGATCTACCTGAGAAGCTATTTCTGAAACTTGGTTCATCCATGGCACATAAATTAGACTGCTGCCTCAGAAAATTATCAACACTTCTCGAATGTCGTTCGGGAGTTTCCTTCCGTACAGCTAACAAAGAGCCTGAACTATGCAGCCCGTTCATGGCACATGCTTTGTCATTTGATTTGTACTAAAAAATATATAAATATATGTGAAAATACATGGGAGAAGCGCCATCCATGTTGCAAGGAAAAAAGGTGATTTCCCGTGCACCGTTGATAGTTGATGCTTTTGTTGGTTCAGGCGGAGCTATTTTCTGTACAATTGCTATAGGCATTGGAAAATGGGTTATGCATGGCTCAATTTTATTGTGCTTAGATGAAAATTTGAGTGGATCACCTAAACCATACCAAAAAAATGAAGGCAGCCTGATTCATCAAGTTTATTCACATGTAGAAGGACTCCGTTACCCTTCACAGAGCACATCATGGAAAGAGCACAGAAGTACGTAGGTGAGATCATTCTAATTAGTGTTTAATTGAGTACAAA